ATTAAGAATGCTTATTATGCATATTATGAAACTGATATAGGCATGTAAGAAAACTGAAAACTAACGCCCATATTTTCCTTCTAATTATCTACGGTCGACGGCGCGACACGTACCGGTGTACAACGCCATTCGATATTACACGGAATTCTTTCGAAAACAAAGCCCTGCTGCTTAAAGCCGTCGATAGTCATCGCGCTTGTGATCAACGATGTTGAGTCCAAACTATTAGGAAATAGCAAGCCCTTCGCGTTGCCACTTGCATGTACACAAATTCCGCATGCATTTTTACAAGTATCGTTTCCGGTCGCCGGAAGTTGGTTTGTGTGTGGTTCGTAACGTGGTTATACGAGCTGTTGGGTGGCACGCGTGCGTATACCTTTCACCCTAACAACCCACATACAGCCCAGCGAGATAGACGAGCCGGTTGCCATTAACTTTAACCTCCAAAACTTGCTGTAGTGCTTGTGCATTTATTCCTCAATCAAACTTCCCAATCCGGATATCAGTAGATGACAAAAAATCCATAAATTTTAATATATAAAAATTATTGATTTATGGAGAACGAAGAAAATTATGAGCGTTTGTGTTTTCTCGTAATGGGACCGTGTTATTTTACGCCTGTGAAAATACAGTATTGGTATCAATGGTATGTATTGTGGCGACAGTACTGATATGATGAGTCATATCCCGAACATAATAATGCCGACAGCGCAGAGCGAACTATTGTTCTAACAATCTTTAGCAATCAGTAGAACATCTTTGAGTGCACATTGTGCAGTTTGTTAATATCTGGTGTTATAACTTGCTCAACCCAGAAACTGCTGTTCTATCATCAAATGGGAAGAAACGTTTTATTGATATGAATAATACAGTTTGCCATCATAACCGCTAATGAGTAATTTTTTCGAATTCTACAGGACTTCACAACAATTTGCAAAGCAATAAGAGTTACCGGAGCTTTGCAACTTCCGGTTCATGCATATGCATTGCCTAATTTTTGTTTTCAGAATGCTGATTACCAGCAAAGTAATTCTCTGATTAACAGGAGAGAAAGTAACGATCTTACGAAAGGAATCGCATACGAAATTCGTATCACAATACGCATCGGGAAGCGTTACACAATAATCACTACAATCACGCAGTTTCAGCAGATTTTTTGTGCTCAAGTTGTGTAAGCCTTTCATCAAATCAGTATATCATGCAACCAGAGCTAACAACATATGTATTTAGTAAATGTTTCTGCTGGTTACCTGGTGTTTCGATTTGAGTCGGTTGTGTTACTATTCCTAAATCGTACTTGTTTCGATAAAATTCATAACGTTTTGCTGGACTAAATACAATATTTTTCCCTTCACCTTTTTCTTTCCGTTAATCTGTTCTGCTTCCTAAATGGGTTCATCAAATGTTAATTTGCAGGACTTACAATACAGTGTTGATTCATTCCTCCTCGCACTATTGTCAACATGACGGTAATTAGGATCAATTTCCTACTGGCAGCTTTAGCGGCAATCGTTTACCCGATAACTTTATATTTCCGGACCATCAGAAATCTCTGTTGATTCGAGGCGGTCATGAAGCGATCTCGCGGATGGTGCCCGTTCAGAAGGAGAGTATCCGAGATATACTCTTTCTGGACCGATACCACCCACACATATAATCGCAGCCGTTTTGAGCACGTAGCAGACGGAATTTTGGTAAGCAAGTAAATCAATCTCTCTAGATTTTTTTTATGCCTTATTAATCAACTTCTGTAATTTGTAAGCCTCACTCAGGTTCTGTTTGCATAATCATAGAGTCTGCAAACCAAGTACACTCACTCAGTATTTTCTCGTCGCAGCGTATATATCCACGGTTTCTATCTTTTCTTTGCGAACTTTAGAAGGGCCGACCTTCAGCAGAGCCTTAGGTTAACGCACGGCAAGTGCTTACTGCGGCTCACGTTTGCCGCGAATTTGTATATCCCTCCAAGAATCAGGAGAATGAAGTGATGTTACAAAGCTGGAAGAAGGAGGCGTGACCGTTATATTTGAAGTGTCCACTGTTTTCCCCAGGTTCATTACGACGCGTAATGGACTTGTGGAAAACAGTGGACATGGAGGATACCCCAAAATGATGAGGTTTCACTGGCGAGGTCCTGGATGCGACTTTTTGAGGGAAAACAATTTTCAAAAACCGCCCTCAGTCATCTTGTTCAGAATTTTCACGAATCCAGTGGCGCACCCACAGGTGCTGTTTAATCACCATATTATTCGGAACTGACTAATGTACTTTACTGGATAGTAGAAAGTAATGTAGATAAATAACTACAGTACAAATGTTGCTAACGGTCGCGAAGTTTCATTTTGCCCTTTATTCTTCAATTAGTTCGTTAAAATTACGGCGTGTATTCCAGCTTGCTTAAATTGCCAGTACATTCGCTGGTGTTTTTTAATGGTTAGACTGAGGACGTTAAAATGCCAGTTTGTTTTTTCTCTATCTTTTTTCCATTTTCCGCCTCTTTTATTTATGCCCAATCTTTTGCTGTCTACCTTGTTGTCCAAAGCAACATTATTATTATATAAAATGTTGAATAATTGTTGTTAAACATGTCCCGCCTTCTGAGAGGATAACGTAACGTCTTGGTGTGAAGTTCCTTTCATTTTTCGGCAATCCCCATCCCGTAAGTATGCACTCGCTGAGTGTATAATCGCGCGATGGGGTGTGAAGAAATAGCACTGATTGCGCTGGGAGTTTTTCGTCCTTTTATTTATATATTACTGCAGTCCGCTGCTCGACAGCATTAATTTTCTTAATTGTTAGAAATTTGGAGGTTTGTATGAGTGATGGTAGATGACAAAGCAAGCGCGTGGAATCACTTTTCTATATAACTAGACTTATTACTTGCTCAAGACTTCATGCAAAAAATTCAAAACGACAAAAACAGTGACGTCCGCCGCTTGAAACAATTAGAGCCGCCCGGTGTATCAGCGCTTTTGCGGTGTATTGTATATTGCAAATTCTCGTGCTGTTACTTTTCAATTTTTGCTATGAAAAACGGTTTTATATTCAATTTTTCTATTCAAAGAGGAATTAAGGATAAATCATAAGAAACGATTTTACTTTTAAAAAATGCGTTGTTGGGAAGCATAGTGATGCGAAAATAACCGATTAGCCATAACGGCGCAAAGTAATGGGAAATTTGCAAGACCTACAGTACATAGTATATACGTAGTACTCGTACTTTTCCAGTGTTACTATAATATTATTGCAATTCGTTCCTGCTTGCACTGTCGTCAAGGTGGCGGCTGTTATGACCAGTTTTCTAATGGCAACGTTAGTGGCTATCACTTACCTAATAACTTTATTTCCGGACCATCAGAATGTGGATGATGCCCGCTCAGAAAACACTATCCGGGATATACTCTTTTTGCACTGACACCATCCATGTAATTATGTAGTCATAACCGTTTTGTGCATTTCGCCAGCGGAATCTTGGTAAGCAAGTAAATCAAAGAACAACTTGTCTAGATTTTTTACGCATTACTTATCCGCTACCTTCTAAGCGTCGCTCGGTTTCTCTTTGAATAATCATAGAATGTGTTTCGGTTTGCATAATCGGTTTCTGTTTGCATAATCACAGCCAATCATTACGTTATCATCGCACTCGCAGCGTGCATATTCGTTATTTCTGTGTTGTCTTGCACTTTAGAAAGCCTGACTTTCAGCAATGCTCCAGATTACCGCAAGGCAAATTGCTCACTGCGGCTCATTTTTATTGGGAATTTGTATCGCTAAAAAAAACCAGAAGAATGCAGTGTGTACAATCATACTGCACTGGCTTCGCCACGTCGTGTTTTCCGAGCATACAGATGCAGATATTCGGAAATCATGACGTTACGAAGCCGGCGGACGAGGATGTGGCCGTTATAATTGAAGATGTCCACTGTTTTCCACAAGTTCATTTACGACTTACGAGGAACACCATCACGGCATCTGACAGTGGGCCTTTTTGCCGTAAGTAACAGAAGTATTTTTTTATTTTAGTACGATATTGTAAGAACAGCTACTGATATCCCTGCAGGATGATCCTGAATTTATGAACCACATAGCTCCGGCTATCCTGGCGGACCCGGGATCGCCTACTGCAGACTACGTACTGTTGTTTTTACCGGATGGATAACCGATGGTTTCGTCGTGAGTCGTGACACCGAATATACATGAGTTGGACGTAACGCCGCATGAGATTTCGGTGGTTTGCCGAAAACTGGAGCCCTCGTTCTGTACGGCGTATCTTTACTACAAATGTATGTTGTACAGAACCAGGGAGACGGTTGGGCCCAGCGATGTGCCATTTTATTTCAGTGGCAGTTACGGTAAAGGTGATGACAGAATTATAACACACCAGCTAGTATTTTAATATTTAAAAGCATACTTTAAAAACGCTTAAAACTTCAGAACTTTTGTTACTGTGAAACATTTAAGATGACTACAGTAAGTATAAAAATTATACAAATAGGCAACCAACCTTCTTTACTTACATCCAGGATCAAAAAATAAGCAGTTAACTACTCAAATTTTTTTTATTAAAAAAAGATCAAGTTGTAGTTGTAATCAGCACACAACAAGTGTTATTCGCCTGCAACCATAACGTAAAAATTATTAAATAAATATTATATTGGCCGAAGCCGGTAGTCGCTTTTATGGGGCCGGTTTCGAATGCGTCAGTGTCGACCTGGAATGTCAGGAAAGACGCGTACATGTGCACCACCAGAATTACTACGGCTGTGATGATTATTACTATAAATCGCGTTGGAATCTATTTGACTGCTACAGTTGTTAAGCTGTAGTCTTTATTTAGTTGTTGCTTTTTTTTATTTACTCTGTAGTTCTGATTTCCTCGTAGATTTTTTTTTTATTTTTATATTAGACGGAACGTGTATAAACCAGTTTCCGGTGTACTAGCGACAAGATTTTCAGAAACGACATGCATAAATTTCGCATAAGCTACACAAAAATTTCAAGCCATTGGTTTCCGTTCGGACATAAAAATCAGTCGACGGCGGGGACCAACGTCAACTGATCACCCAACGGGATCGTTTCCGGGTCGCATGACATCTGCCGACTGGAAGCATGGCCGGGGACGGCTGCAGCTGACTAAGGTGATAGATGACTTAAGGGAAGTGGCCCGGTACATGGTAAAAAATCGTGTACATGCGCGAAAACCTACACTTTCGCACACTTTCCAACACAATTTGGTTTGTCTTATCACATTCTCTAGCCAGACGATTTGTATACACTGGCGTGAAAACCGTTTGTGCGGGCGGTTGGGGAGTTATGGCTGTTAGAAAATACCAAAAAGTTTAAATGCATTCAGGTGTACCAAAAGTCTTATTATGGACCGATCTCCTTCACATTTTGCACGTAAATCCACATGGCCACGAAGATTGTTTTTACACCAGTCCAGACTTTCGTGATATTAGTCAAATTTTAAAACGAATTTGAAAATTTTTGAAATACATTTTGAAATTTGAAAAGCATGCAAGAACATTGGATCGATGTAAAAGCGTTCTTGGTGGTTATGTGCATTTACGTGCAAATTTGAGGGAGATCAGTCCATAATGAGACTTTAGGTACACCTGAATGCATTCAAACGTTCTGGAAATTTCTAACGGCCATAACTCGCGAACCGGATGTTACGCGCACAAGCTGTTTTCACGCCAGTGTATACAAATCATCTGGCTCCAGAATGTCATAAAACAAGAGAAAAAGGATTTGGGAGTGCGCGAAAGTGAAAGATTTCGTGAATGTACGCGACTTTGGTACCATGTACCGGGCCACTTCCCTTAATTAATTTCAGGCGCTGTTTGGTTCGAACCTGTTCTTCAGTTAAGTAATCCTGATGGAATTTTGCATAAAATAATCTGTAGTTATAAGCATTGTGCTGAAGTGTTGTTTGATTCTTTCGAATTGCACTTTCGGTACAGGTATATGTTGGGAGCAAGGAGCGTGCAAGTACGACGTAATGGAAAGTAATCCTGACTGATCATCAGTTGGGATCACTTCCGGACCTCCGGTACATCGTATCCGCAGAATGGGATGGTCGACGACGACTGCAATTGTCAACCTCCAAGACCGGCTGCTTTTTGGATAGCCACGGCAGCAAAAGTAAAAAGAAAGTCGTTTTACTTAGTGATTCCTACGAATCACTCGTCATTGTTGCTATTATTGTATTACCGTATCACAAAATTGGTTCCTTAGAGGAATCCGCTGCCCACCCGGCAACGACAAGTGTTGGCCAAAGTGTGCTACATGCTCTTCAGGACCTGTCATTGCGTGGAGAAAGGCACAAAACTAAGCATCTGGAGGAAGCAGGCGCCCTGTATTCTGCTGGCGGAATGCGGCGCGAATCGCACTAAAAATAAAAAAAATAAAAATATGAAGAAATTTTCACAAAGAGGACGGCTTTCTGCCAATAAGGGGGCAATTAACTGGTCCACGAGATTTTCCTCATCGCGGGGGTGTAGCCGTTTTCGAATAATTTTGATAAAGTTATTTAAAGTATATTCCCTGTTTCGTATTGTTGGTATACATTGCGTAACACGTGGTAATCGGTGCTTTTGTTGATGTCCCTATAACCAGAAGTTGCACCGTTTACTGCATATATTTGTCTGGCATTTGTTTGATGTCCGATAAGGGCCAAGAAAATTTTCTCCAGGCCGATCACGGTGTCTGATTCTATGTTGCATAAGATGGAACGAGTACCGGTACTTGCATGTTGTTCATATAATTATTTCGTCTGAAAGGTTTATATTTATGTTAATCAGTTACCGGGACGTGTTTTTCATCGCTGTTTCCACTGTAAAAATACGAGAAAACGTATATATGAAGCTGATAAATAGTTAATCAATGCCAGGGTTAACAATCATTATTAAGTGACAGGGTTTTTGATTTTAAGAAAAATTAATTGCTGATACGGGCTTTTCTTTGGTGTTTCAGTATGTAATGTACACGTATATGAAAGGGTGCACAATCAGTCGAAAACACATAGCGAGCCTGTATAGCAGTTTGTAGGAAATTTGTCGGTTTCCAAACAAGTGTTGTGTTACGTAACGTTACACTTACTATGGGTGGTCAAAATCTTCTGTGTAATCGATGCGTGTCGGGTAAAGGCCAGAACAAGTAAAACCAACCCGATGAATCAGCCAAAAAACTGTCAACAAATGATAAGACGAGTATGTTTGCGTGCCAGGAAGGAAACTGACCACCGAAGTGGAAACAACACAGTTACGTTTAATTCCAAATGCGGCGCCACACGAGCTAGCCTGCATCATGCGACGGCATAAGCAAGACGAACTGCGAATGTCCAGAGGTTCTTTTTTTTTCGTCCAGAGGTGTGGGTATGGTGTCAAGGAAATTTGGAATTAGCGCCGGGACAGCTTTACGGTACACCCGACGTGTTATATGTGCTCTATTATAATATACTGGTAATTCCGTAATTAATTAAACAAGCGACATATCAGTCCATAATATATAATATTATACAAATCTGGTGTACACAGTTGTTGGCAAGACGTTTAAAGCAAAGAGTTCTGCTGGCTGACATATGTGTAAGTCTGGGTAAGTAATGGTTGCGCTTCGATATCGAAGCGCAACGCTTACATGGAAGAGTAAGCTGATAACCCATCCCAAAATTCTTGTTTACGAATGAGCACGTTTGCTTGTTTACGCGCCGTTGACTCACGCTTTTTACCCAACTGCCGCGCAAACTGCCGCGTAAAGAATACACAGAGATTTTGACCACCCATACTGTACTGTATAGAGCTTCGATGCGCCGTGGACAACATGGTACAATGCGAGCAAGAAAGGAAGCTACGGGTTTAGGGTATGCGTTTAGCGAAGACAGCGAAAACCGGTTTGTACAGCTCGTACGCGCACAGACAGCCACACTCATACGTGTGATAAGTGAATGCGAGCGGATTTACCCACTCACACACACATGTGCCGATCGACCGATACAGCAAGGCAGCATTCAGCTTGCGCTTTTTGGCAGCACTGGAATCCGCTGTCTTTAGCCTATTTATAGTCACAACAGAGAGGCTGCATTGATCAACCAGCCTCAGCGGGCAAAAAAGACTGTTCGCTGGCTTTTTAACATAGACCGTAGCCTCCTCATTTAGTCAGATTGTAAGTCCATCCATTGCGGAAGTTGCAATGTTGTATTTACTTATACCAAATTAACCGGAATTAAATGATGTTATGTACTAGATGGTACATAGATACGTATCTATAGCAAAAGTTTTGCAAACGATCGCGGCGTCCGATTTTATAGCAAATTCCATCTTTATATAATCGCTTCGTTAAAATTAAGACTTGTACCTCCGCTGATGTTTTTCAATAGTAAGTTTAAAAACGCTGCGCCTGCGCCACGCTAAAATGTCTATTCCTTTACGTCTTTACTACCTTATTCTTCGTTTTTTCTAGTCATGTCTATTCTCCTTTCATTCTATCATAATGTCCAAGCAAGATTATTACGTATAATATATCGAAGATGGAATGTTGTTGATTATGCCCTGATTCATGGAATATGTATTACGCTTTTTTTCTCACACTCCAAGTACCTAATGGAGTTCTTTCTTACAGGAACTTTAAATTGAGAAGTTAACATTATTTTCTTCTGCGATTACAGACTTTAGCCACTGTACAAATTATTGCTTACTCTTTGTGCTTAGCCGAAAGGCTATGGAAAAGAAATTCGAAAAAAATTTTGCTTAAATTCTTTTTGCATAATGCCGATTACCAGTTAATAACTGGTAATCGGCATTATACAAAAAAAATTTAGGCAGAACTTTTTAAGCAAAACCTAACTGGCAGTTTGGTATTTTCTAACTACCTCGGCAAAAAAGTAATGATGTTACGAAAGGAATTGAATCTCGTGCATACGAACCCAGAAGCGTTACACAATCAGTTTCACAAGAATTAACATGGTCAAGTTGCGTAAGCCGTTCTTCTACCTGCATATCATGCAACTAATAGCTAACAACATAATATGTACTAAATGTTAAAGGATTTACAGTACATGGTACGTTTCCAGCATTACTACATAGATTTTGTAATTCATTGCTCCTTTGCACTGTCGTCCACGGTCCACATGACGGTTATCAGTTTATTAACAGCAACGTTAGTGGATATCGTTCACCCAGTAACTTTATTTCCGAACTATCAGAACTCTGCAGATTCGAGGCGATCGTGAAGCGGTCCATCATGCCTCATCGCTAAACGTGAATGATTTCCCTTTAGAAAGTTTATATCCGGAAAATACTCTTTTCGGATCGACACCATCCACATAATTATATAATCGTGGCCTGTTTTGATGACAGAACGTGATTCAACTGTCTTTAAAACACACTTTTAATGCTTGGGCGAAATTTTTTATTTGGGTACTCGTACATTTTAGCAAGGTGATGAAAACTACAAACTGTTAGGATCTGCTTTTCGCGTGAATGTTTCTTTGCCCGGTGTAATTTACAGTTGGATTTACTTGTAAAAATAATTTGAGATTTTAATGCACAATAGCTGCGCCGGTAACAATGTCGGTTAATTTTGTAGTGAATAAAATTAACGTAGTACATAGTACTGTACGTAGCATATAGTGTGTAATTTTAGAACATAAATAGCACTTACAAATTACAATTACATTTTTTGTACGCAGCATAGTTTCTGTACCCCGGTTCGACAGCAAGCACTTTTTTAACGTGTGCCGGCCATTGTCGAAACGTGACTGAGCGTTGCTCAAAATCTCTCCATCGTGCATTGTTAACGTCCTGTGCGTGTATAGTTTTAGTAGAGTTATCGTCGCTTTCCCGACGTTACAGACGACGTGTCGAAAGTGTGCCACTGAATGTGGTCTTAGGGTGACGAGGTGGCCCAAAATGTGTGTTCATCCCATTGGGATCGTTTGTGCAAGCTATGGTCAAGGTACCGTAAAAACGTGAGGACGGCGTAGAAAACGCATGTTACGCCCGTGTAACCGTGTTTACCGTACCGACGCGTGCCAGTTCCGGTTTTTATTACGACATTTAAATATTGAGCAACACGGATATTACTACCACAGACAGACAAATTTAATTCTTAACTTGATTAAAACAACAACGACTAAAAGTAAGATACAAAATTTGTATAATACACTGAGTTTTACGTAATATAAAAAACAAAACAATCTGTTCAAGTACGAGCATATCCAAATACGAGTCCAAGTACACGGGAAGCCCAGACAATATTGTCAATTCCGCTTTGGCTAAAGATCTGAAAAGATTGTAAACGAAAAATTCAATTTACAGATAAAATTTACAGCTTCGAAAGGCATTAACAGTTTGGTCCGAACTAGCTCTATGACAAAAAAACTTTATTGTTTCACATTTTAGTAGCATGTTAGAACTTACACGAGTCACGACGGCGACTAGCTTGTTTCTTCATCCACGGCGACGAGTTCGTCATCATCGAATTCTTTGCGAGGGGTGTTATTTCTGCTCTGCTCCGCTTTTCTGGCTTCAGCCAACGTTTGTCTGAAAAAGGGTTGCCAAAAAATAGTTTTTCACAAAAAGTTGAATAAAGATTCAAAACAGAAATAGCTCATTGCATCTAGAAATAAGCCATTACAAATAAATGGCGTTATCGTCCAATAGTCTGTTCGTTACATACATAGTTAACAACTAGCTTACAGAGCCTTTGGCGATATCGCCGCATTTAGCCTTACCTTTTGATGGCAGCTCGACATGCAGCAGTTTCTTCTCGTCTCCCTGCGTCCTTTGCCATCCTTAGATTTTGACGATATCGTCATACGTGCCCTTGATAATAAATTATTCTGCGAGGGAAGGATGCTGATGAGCGTCGGGGATAGCGATAAACGCTGGCAAGGGGCTAGGCTGGAGCTGGATCTTTGTATTCTGCCAGTCAGTAGTGTAGATAGCGTCACACTGTACGGTAAAGCCCGAACAAGTTTCGTACGAAAGATCCTGCTTCTTCCTTTTCCTACCGCCATTTCACTACGATATCGCAAAAACCCCAGAAAAGCTAACTTAGTTCTCTTAGAATGCAGTTTGCTGGGGATAATAAAAAAACAGACAAAAATTAGAAAGCTAAGTTTCTAAACGTGAATATCAACTGCGCTGCGCAGATGCAAAGAACGATGCACGTTTATCGTGGCGCAGCTGATTCAGTAATTCTGCAATCTGACGCACCGCCCCCCGCGTACGCAACCGGAAATGCGCTGAGTGGAAATATTCGCATTAACAAAATTGATGAAATTGCGAGTATTACTCCTAAAAAGTAACATTTGAATCATAAAAAAATTCTTAAATATTATCTATTGCTCCGCACAAATATTTTAAATTCCCAAAATATCAACAGACGAAATCGTCAATAGCTTGCAACAATTTTCCTCAGAAAGTTCTTGCTGAGAACCGGAATTAACTCATTCAAAAAAAATATATTTAATTTTAGTTTTGTCTGTGCAGAATTTGTGTTCAGCGCGTGTTCGTAACGTACTGCGCAAAGCACTAAAACAGCCCGTGCTGTAAACGGCGGCATGACACACCGAGCACCTCGGATTCCGTGGCCGTGACGGGCTGTTTTTTGCAGAAACAAACCGGGTACTGCTATCTCGCACATGTCCAGACTTTTGCATGATGAGAGCGGTAGACACTGAAAGTCAGTGTGTGCGAATCATAAATGGATGGGTTCATACAATATACGCCGCTGCACTGTAAAATAAATAGACAGTTTCAGGTTAGCGGTACAGTATATTTTTGTCTACTACAGTTTCAGTTTCAGCTACAGTTTCTACTACAGTTTCAGTTTTTGTTTACTACAGTTTCAGGTTGGCGGTACAGTATATTTTTGTTACTTCCTTTTTGTTTATCAGCCGGAGTAGTAAGAGCGGAAGGCGTGCAAATAATATGTATTATGTCAAAGCGCCTCAATCATGCCGGTACGCACGCCAGTGCGGCGTGCCGGCTTTGGCCAGGCTGCTCTTCCTCTTCGCCGTCCTGATGGAATGGTACGACTACGAGACCTGGAAGAGCACCCGGCCCAGGCTTCAACGCTTGATCAAAGTCATCCTCGTCTAGGAAGACTGCTGGATCAACGGCATCCCGTTGCTGCTTTTCTTAAGGACAGTAATGTATTGCTGGCTTCCCGCTAACTCGGGCGTGTTGATAGCGTATTGACCTGCTGGGACTGACAGGAAGTGCTCACCCCAAACCACTGAAAGCAATACAATAATTCTTTAACCAGGGTTCATTGTCATTGGCCCAGCTGGCAGAAACGCCAGCTAGTCCAGTGATTCTGATACCATACCGTAGAAAAGGTCTTTTCTACAGATAAGTACCATGATTAACAATTCCCACTCACTGCAATCCAGTGCAAATTTGGCTTTAGTCCAGCTGCCAGTCGATACTCAATCAATCTAATGGTTGTTACTACCTACCAAAAGAAACGTCCTTGCTACAGTTAATTACCACGATTAACAGTTCCCATTCACTGTGAACGTGAGCACAAAGGTCATAGCGATTTCACTAATCAATAGCGATCACACTTCTGTGCCTTAAGACACGGTCACGCGTGGCTGAGTTATCTTTCTCTCGTCGAAAGAACTAGCAGAATACAGCAATCGCAAAAGTGCGACTGTGTAAAGCGTTATTGCTCGTACAGGTGCTGTTTTCTTGTACTCATACCACTTGTTATGAAGCGGTTAGCATTTGTATGCCTCCGAATTCTGTTCAGTTAATCGCTTCAGTGCCTAACCAAATAAATCATCAGTGAATTCGTTCGCTGTTAGTAACCAGTGTCCTGCATGCCATCTGAACCAGAACGTGTCCAGTTCAGATATTTTTTTTCGGTGCAACAAGAAATGCTAAACTGGACACATTCAGTTCGAATCTTGATTCGTGGTTAAAACCGTTTTTGAATTGGACTATTTTATTGCCTATGGCTGTTGATAATAGAATCCATGCGTGAAATATTGTACTGCGGCGCAGGTAAATTAGTAATCACGTCGTATGGCTGTATTGAGTAAGGATTTATTCATATTACTTAATGTTTACAGTTTACTATACTTATCGCACCGGCGAATACATCGATATTGTAACAGTGGCATATCTGGCTACTGTTCTAGTGGGATGGCGATCAGCCTTACCACGATTAAACGGCTGTTGGTGTGAAAGGTGGCACGGCCGGCAACGATGCTGGCCGAGGACGCTCTTACAGATGTAACGCAATTACACAGGTGGCTCCGATTGGCATATTGTAAAATGCGCGGTGAAGTTCAACAAGTTTATGCGAATCAGACATTTGAGGATCTATTTCGTTAAACAGAATTTCCAACTCCATCAGAAATGTCTCAATATTTGACCCTTTCTTGAACACCTTTTTTGATAATTCAATGCGTTTCTTTATTAAGTAATCTTCAGGGAAAAAGCGGTCAATTAATTTGCATTTCCACTCTTCATAATTTAATTTCGAACATGTGGGCCAACTGCGCTCAAAATACAGACGTGCTTTATCACCAAATTATGTAGGTAAGATACAAATTCTATCTTCTGAACTCCATCCAATTGCGTCAGCAGCTCTTTCGAATTGTTGAAAGAACGCAGTGATATAATAATCAGGAGTATCATTAAAAACTTTAATATTGAAATCTTTTGCAGTATATCCGTAACGCGACTGTAACGCGAGCACTTGTACCAAGCGGTTAATATCAAGCGGCAGTTGTACAGTAGTAATGTTTGTATCGGTATGAGCGGATGCGGCGTGCTGCGCGGCTGTGTGCGCGGCATGCTCTCTCTGTGCGGTTGCTAACGGAGCGCTGTGCAAAGCAGTTTGAATGAGTGACTCATCGGAAGGCTCATCATCTGAAAAGGTAATTAATGTTTCTTCCTGTTTATAACGTTGCTCCAGTCTGTCGTGTCGAAGCACTGGTTCTGTGTGGCTGATGTGAGTGCATGCTGTATTCCCACGCACTGCGCTCTGTCCACTGTTTTCCCTTGACGGTGCATGTGTAAGGCTGCGGGCCGGTTGGACAGAGGACCAAGACTGGACAGCAGACGTTGACGCTGCGTGTAATGTCGACAGGGAAAGCGCGTTAATCTTTCCAGTGTTATCATTGTTGATACAAGTGTTCGGCAAAGTAATGTTGTGCTTTAACATGTAGGAAGATAATTTATCAACATAACCTGACCTAGAGACTTTCCGATTAATGTACACGTTTAGACTGTTGCTGATGTCCTGCAACTGCGCTTTGGTGAGTTCACCAAGCTGAGACTGCAAATTTATTTCCTCAGATTCCATTGAACTGGTGGACCATGACAGTTAATGTTGTGCTCTCAGAGCATCTAGACCAGTGTTTACGATACACAAGGAAGTTTTGGCGCGAACCAGACCACGGCGGCACAGCGGCGCCGGGTGAACAACGGTAATATAACGGTTAGCCAAAGCGCGAACAAATAATGCAGCAAAAATTATTTTTCTATATTCGCAGTTTTAAGATTTTCTGATAAAATGGCATCGTAACAGGAACAGTGATATTAATTAATTTAGCGTTCGGAAAATTAATATAAAACTTTGATGTTATTAATGTATCAAGACCGAAAAGCAAATCTCACTGCGTCAACGGACACAGTAAACACTCACGAAACGGCGATCCGTTCCGGGACTTCCGCTGGTTGGTGTGGGAAGTGGTGATATTATGGAAATTGCTGGTATATGCAGGCGTCCAGGTGGAATGGTTCTTTACAGGAGCGCCATGTAACAGTGGCCTATCTGGCTACTGTTCTAGTGGGTGGCGATCAGCCTTTACCACGATTAAACGGCTGTTGGTGTGAAGGTGGCACGGCCGGCAACGATGCTGGCCGAGGACGCTCTTACAGATGTAACGCAATTACACAGGTGGCTCCGATTGGGATGACGCTAGTTCATCCCAAGCGGTCAAACGCAACAACGTAACTCAAGGCATGTTTAATGACAAGGGAATCAAGAACACAGCAAGGTTGTAAGCAAGGGTTTCAGCAAGAGGAACAATCAAGTAGATGCAAGCTGTAGCAAGCTGAGCACAAGACTGAATTCTAGAAGTTCATGAGAAAGGAAACTAGCCGGTAAAGTGGACAAATTCATAACGCGATGGAATGATTCATCATAACTAGGCGGTCTTATCGTTCGTACAAATACTATCGCTACAATATTGTACAATCATGAGACCGCTATTTCGCGAAAACTGGCCACGAGTAGCCACACTTCGTGCTTCTTCAGACATTTTCTTTTAATAATTAATTATTACCTTTCTATTCCGTAATGTAATTAATAAATTGCATTAAACTATTTTTTCGGTATTCACGGCTAACTGGCATTGGTAATTTGCGTCGCCGGCATTGCCGGCAAGTTGCATTCTGTGACGTTGTACGTAATGCTGTGCCGCTCTCTGAGGAAGCCGATCGCGATTCTCATGAACGGATTGATCGTCGCCGCCCGCTTGTGGTGTTACTTGTGGATGGCATTCCCCGTAATCCTTTTGCATTGGTTCACGGTTAACCATTCAACAGCCGCCAAAGTGCCGCTGAGTCGATGTCTTACTGCTGGACGGTTATCTTTCCCATCACAGCCATACTACGCGACTGTACTGTAACAGTGCAGGCGCGTACTGATTGAAGCGGCGATCGCGTCGCGCAGCAATTTTATCTGGACGCATTTGAACTTGAAGTAAGATTTCTCACGGATTTTGTATCACCATTATGAAACTAATGTAAGAAACTAACAGATGTTAGGATTGCGTAATGTCAGTCAATATTATTAAGAATGCTTCTTTTTAAGCTAATGCATATTAGGAAACTGATATAGACATTTAAGAAAGCTGAAAACTAACACCCATATTTTCCTTCTAATTATTATCAACGGTCGACGGCGCGACGCGTACTGGTGTACAACGCCATTCGATATTACACGGAATTCTTTCGAAAACAAAGCACTGCTGCTTAAAGCCATCGAAAGTCATCCTGCTTGTGACCAACGATGTGGAGTCCAAACTATTAGGAAATAGCAAGCCTTTCGTGTTGCCACTTGCATGTACACAATTTCCGCATGCATTTTTACAAGTAATGATTT